GATTACATGTGCTAGAGATGCATGAAGAGTGTTTAGAAGTGTGTAGAAAAACTTGTTGAAATTGGGTCCCAAATGGGCTAAGAACTCGAAAACATTGCGTTGAACAACTAAATTAGTTATCTAGTGTTATTTGGGGTTAGAATATGTTAGAATACAATAACTCTGATTGATTACATGTGCTAGAGATGCATCAAGAGTGTTTAGAAGTGTGTAGAAAAACTTGTTGAAATTGGGTCCCAAATGGGCTAAAGAACTCGGAAACATTGCGTTGGACCACTAAATGACTTATCTAATGTTGTTTGGGGTAAGAATATGTTAGAATAAAATAAATTTGATTGATTACCAGTGCTAGAAATGCATGAAGAGTGTTTAGAAGTGTGGAGAAAGACTTGTTGAAATTGGGTCCCAAATGGGCTAAGAACTCGGAAACATTGCGTTGAACCACTAAATGACTTATATAGTGTTGTTTGGGATTAGAATATGTTAGAATACAATGAATATTATTGATTAGAAGTGCTAGGGATGCATGAAGAGTGTTTAGAAATGTGTAGAAATATTTGCTGAAATTTGGTACAAAATGGGCTAAGAACCCAAAACCATTGCTTTGAAGCATTAAATGGCTTGTCTAGTGTTGTTTGGGGATATAATATGTTACAATACAATAACTTTGATTGATTACAAGTGCTAGAGATGCATGAAGAGTGTTTAGAAGTGTGTAGAAAGACTTGCTGAAATTTGGTCCGAAATGGGCTAAGAACCCACAAACATTGCTTTGAAGCATTAGATGTCTTGTCTAGTGTTTTTGGGGTTAGAATATGTGAGAATTCAATTAATTTGATTGATTACAAGTGCTAGAGATGCATGAAGAGTGTTTAGAAGTGTGTAGAAACACTGGTTGAAATTTGGTACCAAATGGGCTAAGAACTCGAAAACATTATGTTGGGGCACAAAATGGCCTGTCTACTGTTGTTTGAGGTTAGAATATGTTATAATACAATGAATTTGATTGA